AAGAAAGATTACATAGTGCTGTTTTAAATTAAAAAAAAATTAAAGTGTAGTCCTTTGTGTGCTTCCCTTACTACCGAACTTTTTAGTCTGTTAGTACAAGTGTTACAGATGCTACCAGGTGGCCTGAGCTGAATGTTTGACAAACATAGACACAATAGCTAAGAGAGGCAGGACTTGTCAGAAATTTTCATATGGTCAATTACACCAAAGAATCCGAAGCCCTAATCACTTTTCTCCTGAAAAGTTGCTTTGGAGAGTTTTGTTCCATGTCAGCATGCGAATTATCTATTTTTATTGACATCTGATCTTCATCATAACAGGTTTGATTGACATACACAGTCCTTACAAAACAACATCCTGATTTAGGATCCCTTCTTGAAGGCACTAGGCAGGAAAAAATACATGCAATTGATTCTTCACTGAAACAAGACAGGCCCTATCGTGTTACATCCCACACTAAGCAAACTGTGTATAGATTCTCTGTCATGTCCTAGTGTAGTTCCTTTAAAGCTCGAAAAGTCTCTCCTCACAGGTCACTCCCACAGAGAGCTGACTCAGGTGTTTGGAGAGAGGAAATTCAGACCGGCTCCTCATTTATTTATTTCTCCTCGGCGGCCCACTGACTCTGCTGCGCAGTAACCTGACCCCCGTGATGATGAGGCACTGGGAGGGCAGCCAAACACTCTGCCTCTGTGGCCTGACCATCCAAGGACTCTGCATCCCTGCATCGGAGCACAGAGGCCAGACTTAGCGCTTTAATTCCAGAGATCAATGTCCAACCTGATTGCTCTTCTTTCATCTGCGTGTTACTTTTAAAAGATTGAACATCAAAAGACATTGCGTCCAAAATCAGGTACTACACACTACATACTTATTCTAGTACAGCAAACTAGTTCTAGTTCTACATTTACACATACTGGGGTGCTACATGCTGCAGACTTATTTGAGTACTACACACTTTTATATACCACATATTACGGCTGGGTTAAGTACTACATAATACCACTGGTGACTAGTAGAGCTAGACCTTCAGTTCAGGTCATAAATATTAAAACGCTGTCAAAAACATCTCTGTGATAATGCAAATTTGTCTCTATGGGATTCTAGTAGTATATTAGCACTAAGCTAACGGTGGTTCACATTTAGATTCAAACTGAGGCAGGGGCTTTTGGGGTCTCCTGGTGGAATGTCTGACAATGAGATGACCTCAGATGAGTACTATTTTTAAAATACTTTTTTGTGAGGTTAACCCCTGTAGTTTTTTTAAACTTCATGTCTGTACTAGGAGAAGTCAATACAGCAAAAATATTATATCACTATACTTCGACATTTTCATAATACACAATATGCATTGCAATATTTCGCTTTTTTGACATTGAGAACCCTATTTTGTATCAGTACTAATCATTTTGACACTTAGAAGCTGACAAAACACATGGCAAGCAGTTCTAATAGCCTAACCTTACTTAGTTAATTGATTCATTTCAATGAATTGATTCAGTTTAAGATCACTGTAGTAGAACAATTGAGAAGGCATGTTTGAGGGGTCCTGCAAAAAGTAAAATCTAATTTAATGTCGAACTAGTGAACAATGGAATTTAATGTTGAACACAATGAAAGCCTACAAAACTAGACTGTCACCTTGTGTGAGTACATACATTTTATTTTAAAAATCAAATTTTATTCAATAAAATAACATTCCCCAGTTCAATTCTGTCACTCTTATGAGGGGTCCCTTCACTTCAGAACACCCCCAGCCTCATTTGAATCCTTAGTCACATGAATATATTTGGCCATTCTAGAATAAACGCAGACATTTGAGACATGTAAAAGATTGTATTTTATTTATATGAAACTTCTAACAGGCATATTGACACATCAACATATCACTCTAGTTTACACTCTGGTGCACTCATTGGTGATGTAAAAGTTCTTGTTGTAATAGTTCTTGTTTGTCTTCACCTAGAATAGCCAACCTGTCATTGGCTTCTGAGACAGGCAAAGACAAGAGACAGCACCCTTGAGTACCATTAGATCCTGTTGGCACCAATCTTGAGGTATCAAAAACCATAAAACTTTAGTGCTAGACCGATGAACAATGGAGAAGGCACAGTTTCTTACACATTAGTTCTAATTATACTTAGTGCTAGTTCTGGCTGGAATTGTCATAGTGACAACATTAGGGACAGTAAAATGGACTGCTAAATGCTAATAACATTGTACTTATTAGCTTTCCACTTATTGGTCATGTGATAGTTCTTGGTGTCCATGGCTCCAGCTGCAAGAGTCCAACACAGAGGAAAATCTCCAGCTGATCACAGACACAGCTCAAATAAACAATCCACTCTAAACCTGTTATTTTACATGCTATTTCACTGATTTCTTTGTCAACTCCTTTACATGTCTTATAGAAGGTGTTCTGCTCTGTTTATATTATTTAATGCTATATGTATTTGCCTTAATCCAGGAGATGAAAAAACAATCCACATTTGTCATTTGATGTGACATAAACATACAAGGAAATAACTGTGATAGCCCTCCTTGTGTCTTGTTCCACAGACATGTTTTGTATGAGTTCTTTGCTGAAATAACAACAACAGTGTGTCAGTTATATGAATATGGTCATCTTGCTGAATTATGGCAAGTTATGACATCTTCTGTTTGATGAAATGCATTCATGCAGGTCTAGTGCTGGTCTGGTTCTAGTTTAGCTGGGCACCCCAGCATGGTCATGCTAGTTGACCAGCATACCAGCATCAAAACACAACATATGCTGTTTTTGGTGGGAATCAGCATATCAACTTCCATTGCTGCTGACTAGCATACCAGCATCCAAAACACAACATATAGTGGTTTTGCTGGTGACCAGCCCTGCTGGTCTATGCTGGCTTTTCTAGTAGTGTTATAAACACTGGTATTCTATTAAAGTGTTTTAAAAATGGCATTATGCTTCTGTCAGTATGAACAGTACTGCTAGGTACAATTAGGTCCTGCTGGTACCAAAGACGATAAAACAGGAACCTTCAGTAACGGACCGATGGAAAAGGCACAGTTCCAGTTTTCTGCTGCCAAAGATTCATTTGGCAAAATATCCTTATTGGACTACCACACACCACACAAGTAGTAAAATAGTAGAAAGATCTACAATTTGTTGAATATGGTTTCAGAGATGCTAATCTGTACTGTTTTGACATACTATTTAGAGAAAAAGTAAGTAGAACATGTTTAGCACTAGCAAAATCTGAGCTACGGCTTTTTTCAATAAGCTTTCTAAGAAGTCCAGTGCTCACATCACATCATCAGAGTGGCCAAATATTAATGCAAGCTTAATCCACACATCTATTGAACTATTTTGGTGAGTAATCCCAAAATGGAGTTCATGAATCCTCTCAGGAAGACAAATTAATGACAAATCCTTTGTCTAGAAAATACGCATGATTACTGATTGACATTTTCAGCTGAGTGTCAGGGTGACCTGTTTTAGAAAAAACTTTACAAACAAGAAAACTTCTAAATTTTTCACTCCTTAGCGGCCTTCAGTGTGGCCAGTAAATTGCATAATCTACACTTTCACTGGTTATCAGAAGTCAGCACAGGTTAATGTGGCTCATTGTCTCAGTTCAAGCAGGCACAACCGTTCATTCTCAATCAAGTCTGCATTTGAAGCCTGAAGTGCTCTTCACTGTCAGAAGCAGAGGCTTCGTATGCAAATTAGAGGGAAAACCAGCAGCCAATCAGCGGCGCGCTTCGGTGCCGTTCCGCCATTCCGCGGCTGTGATTGGCTACTGCTCGGTCCGGTGTGGAGCTGCGCTGCTCTCAGGAGAGCCGAGGGCTTTTGTTTCTTACTGGGGCAAAAAAAAACAGGCAGGTGTGGAGATAACGGGGTAGACTGAGGGCGACGGCGTGACGTCACGCCAGGGGCTCAGCGACGAGTTCTAAAAAAGAAAGAAAAGGTGGAGAAAAAGAGAGAAAAACTCTGAAAGAAGAGTCCACAGAAAGGAATGTTTTGGAAAAGAGGGCGCCAACATCAGAGCGCCGTTTTTTTCCCGAGCCTGCTGCTCGCTGGCGGTCTAATCACAACCTAGCAGATCTGCCTCGCTGATGATATTGATGAAGCGGCGCTGATACGGAGCTCCACCGGGACTGAGGTAACAGATGAGAGAGGACGGGAGTGTGAAGCTTAAACGGACACTTCGTTTCCCACGAAAGCCTGAGAGAGCCGAGGAGGAGCAGCTCGAACTGGGGTAAGACGGAGCATCGCTCCCTTTGTACTTTCCTCAGTGAACGACGGAAAGATACCGCTGTGGAGGCTGTGCGGAGCAGCAGGGCGGCACAGTCTAATCTCTCTAAGCTTCTCTCTTCACTTCGTTGTCACTTCAGAGCGTGAAACTGATCTTAATCTTCATTCCGCTCACGGCTCTGCGACGGCTTCGCTCAGCTGGGATACAGGCTGTGCGAGGCTGCCGCACACAAAGGAGAAGGAGGAGGAGAAGGGCTGCTAGTGTTGCACGAGTTACATTGATTTCCCCTCATTATCTCCAACGCAGGACAAGTTGATTTTTAACATTCTTTCGTCCGTCTTTTATCACAGGAACGGTTAAAATTGGTCGTGTGGGTAAAAATAATCCTGTCTTTTCGATTCCTCATTATAAAGATCAGCTGTTATCAGAAGATCTGTTGTGCTGCAGTGGAGGTTCACCGCTGAACTGCACCAGCTTGGCTAGTCAACGCCATAGCTGTATGCATTATTTATAAAGTTGGGCTGAGGGGAATGCAGGGCTGTGTTGGGGCTTTGCAGAGCCAGTTCTCACTCAGTGCTTCATAATTAAATAAAATCTAGCAAATGTGGAAATCTGAAGTGCACGCAGGCTAATGCCTTTCAATAGAGAACATCTGCTTATATAACAGCATTTTGGCTGAAGGCTTAACATTCAATTACATTGCTGTCTTGTCACTGAAGGTGAGCTGCTTTGGCCAGAGAGCACCAGACCATTAACAGGCAGTCTTTCTTAAAAGTGATGCAAAGTGATCATGTGTTGGCTCGTTTGCTCAGTGTTCACTCAGAACTATTAAAAATGGTTTTTCAAGGGTTCTTTAGTAAAGGCAGGGGTTATGTATAGAACTGTGAACACACAGAGAACCAGCTGAATGGATGGTTTGCTTGGTTAAACTAAACTCTTAAAAAAGAGGGTTCTTAAAGAGTTCTTTAGTAAAGGGAATGGTTCTATATAGAACCATGATTTCTTTATCATGCTCAAATGGGTGTTTGCATGGTGAAATGGTTCTTCAGATTGTGTTGTATATGGTCCTATATAGCACCAAAAAGCGTTCTGTTATTGTTACTATTTCAAGCTTGTAACAATAGAAGAGCCATTTTTTGGTGCTATTTAGAACCATTTTCAGAAAGGTTCTGTATGCGTTCTCCATCAAGACAAAGATCCATTGAAGCCTGTAACAGTCCTGTTTAGAACTCATAGTTTGAAATACAACCATTCCCTTTACTAAAAAATCATTTCCTTTACTTTACATCCTTTTTAAGAGTGTATGAGGAAAAACCTGTTGTATCTGGTTCTTTGCAAAACCAAAAGGAAACAGATTAGAGAACCTTTTTGGTATTACACAGAACCTTTTTAACTGAGAGTGTAATGCATGCACTTTTTCAGTTGCTCTAAGAGATGGGTAACAACAATAATGATTTCACATGCAGAGTATTATAAGATTGTTAGATGAAATTATTTCATTATTTTGTCTTTAATATATTTGCTTTGTGTACTGGAGTCCAATTTAGTCCCTAATCACCTCTCTTTCTCTGTCTATCTCAGGAAGGAATGCATGGAAAGACTAACAGATAGCTGCATGCGGAGCATGGAGGTGAAAGGCCAGCGCAGACCCGAACACGGCAAGTACAGGCTCTTGGATTACACACTAATTACATCAGGATTTCTTCCTGATCAGTTCAGCGCCAGCAGCCTGGCATTAAGTAAACATCCCATCTAGAGTGAGGCTCATACGGGGCAAACAGAGTGACAGAGCATCTCCGACAGCATCCTAGAGCTCCTCAAAGAGCGTAATTCAATTTGAGGGAGAGGTGGAGAGGCTTTCGGAATAGAGATTGCAGTTCAGGAGCCCGTGAGCCTCCGTCTACTGTACATGTGTAGCGGGCTCTGACTGGCTGCGGGATGTTGCTATGGAAACACTTGCCCTACACCAGGGCACTGTTGTATTCCACCCAGCGCTGTGCCCTCTTCACTTTGATGGGCCGCGTGCACAGAGCACTCTGTAATTTAGGAGGCTTCTCTCTGAGAGGAAATTCAATCCACCAGGCACGTTTAAGATGACTGTCATCACCATGCATTTCAGCTTCCCGCTGTAATCTCCTTATAACTACTTCAAGCATCTCTGCACATGGTGTTTTAGAGTAATTTCATGGGTAATGGTTTGGTTGTTTTTTAAAATATTTCACCATATCAAAAGGCAGCATTTTGGCACATAGTCATGTGATTTCAATAATTACATTATAATATGAACTGTGTTTTCCACACTCCACAGCCTCTCTCAGGCAGTGCCTGGTGGCTCCTCTATGAACGATGGCCCGGCAGAACTCTTCCCCATTCAGGTACGGCTTCGACCTGGGCGGCCAATTCCAGGACCTGCGCCCCCTGGGCACGGGCGTTTCCGGCCTGGTCCTGTCGGCACTGGACCGACGCAGCGGGCAGAGGGTGGCTGTGAAGAAGTTGGTGCTGCGGGATGCTGTCAGCCTAAAGCACGCTCTGCGTGAGGTGAAGATCACACGGAGGCTCCAGCATGAGAATGTGGTGAGGGTGTACGAGGTGCTGGGGCCGTATGGCCGGCCGCTGCCCCGTGACCTCACCCAACTCACGGCTATATACATAGTGCAGGAGCTGATGGAAACAGACCTGGGTCGCATACTGGAGCGGGGGCCGTTGCCGGTGGAGCACGCCACCCTGCTCTTCTACCAGCTCTTGCGAGGCCTCAAGTTCATCCACTCGGCAAACGTGCTGCACCGCGACCTGAAGCCAGCCAACATCTTCATCAACACCGAACAGCTGTTTCTGAAGATTGGAGACTTTGGGCTGGCACGCATTGTAGACCCTCATTACTCTCACAAGGTAAAGTCCAAGAAGTACTTCAAGGTTTAAACCATACTGCAAACATACATGCCTTCACTCTTAAAAACGGAGGTGCCCAAAAGGGTTCTTTGGAGCAATACTGTTGAAGAACCACTTTTGGTTGCCTAAAGTAGTTTCAATGAATTATTCTTTAAAGAAGCAAATGTGAAGAACTTTTTTAAAGTTTAAAGAATTCCCACATAATGTGAAGGTTTCTGTATTAATTCAGGTTTTTCTAGAACCTTACATCTGAGCCAAAACGTAATTTAGGATCCTTTATGTTTATGGATATTAACTTATAATTGCAGTATAGTGTTCTGTATATATTATGCAACCCTACTGCAGTGCGTATTTTGGTGGGCTCCAAAGGGGAATTCCACTGATAGTTCAATGGTTGAAATGTAAATAGTCTTTCAGATATGTTGCATTGTCAAGAATACCACTCAGATTTCTTTACAGTGTTGGTGACAGGAACAGGGGTTTGTGATGTCTACCACACAAATATAACCTTCTAAAGCCATCCAAAATGACCAGTGAACCTGCATGTCTTCTAAGTTTTTATTGATAAAGGTAAAATAGTGATAAATCACAAAAATAAGTTTTCTTTGGGTACTGTTTTACCTTACAGTACCATGGTGTACCTCTCCATCATAAATGGTTTAAAAATTAAATTTTGACTGAATGGTTTTTGTACCTATCGTAAAAAACAAAGCCTCTGGCAGCAGTCAACGCAATTGTAGATATTTCATGTTAGAATTTTCTTTGAGGTAGTTTTTAGGGCATTAACGTCAAGTTCCTTGGTTAAACTCTTCATGTTTTCTTAAAAAAATTCCTAAGGAAAAAGTGGAAGAAGGATTTTTGTCAACAAACCAAGCAAGTCAACTTTTATAAAGGTCTGTTTATGGAGAAGCGTAAACTGTTTTCATAGCAGGGAATTCTAGCCTCTCCCAGTTCACCCCTCATTGCTCGCTAACAGCTCAACACAGAATTAAAGCATTTAAGTCCACAGTTAAGCTGAAAGCAGAGTTATGAGGTAAGCATTTCATTTGATTATATTCATTAAAAAATTAAAAAAGTTAAATTAAAAAGGTTGATTTTCATTCTGTTAGTGGATTGGCCACTAGGGGGCCTGCAGAAAGAGGCTACATGATTTCGATGTCTGGTTCCTGTAATCGCTGATTCTGAATCGTCTCTCTAGAACTGCGTATTCCACATCAGACCACTCTGAATGACTTTGTTTACATCTTAACAATGTATCTATGCAGAAAATGTAAAAAATGTGTCAAGTTCCTCTTTTACAACCCTTCCTGAGCTGAGAAAACACAAGCAGGGAAAACACTGAAATGTGCAGGGTTGGGAAACACTGGCCTGTGTGCTTTGCATGTAGTCATTAACTTTCAGAAGCCTCCTCACATGCCCTCTCGCACGCAGTCAGTCCTACAGGGTTTCGCCATAATCAGAGTGAATTATAACCTTGACTGTTTTGGGATCAGGGCTTGTGAAAGATTAATGTGGCTTTTTGCTCCTCTATTGTCCTGCTTTATTATTGCAGGGAACACACTGTGTAACATTAGCGGAGCCTGTAAGGCCAAAATGAATGGGGGGCTTTGTGTGAGACGGGCCAAGATGGAGTGAGTTATCAGGGAACGGGCGAAGGGGGTAGACTCTGCTTGGGACGGACAAGACAGTCAGATGTGAAACCAGGACAACAAAGGGCAGTGCTGTGTTCTAGACGGCTTAAGCAAACAATAAAGGCGTTTGGTGAGTTATAAACTAGATGACTTTGCAGTAGGGTGACGTTTCTGCACCCCTGCTGTTCTCCCATGCTGCTCTCCAGCTTCAGCCTGCCTGTTGGCTGCTCGGGGCTCATCTTCCGTGCCCTCGAGCTGTCGTGTCCTTTCGTGAATGAGTCTGAATCAGCAAGCTGGAAAGGGTCCAATTTCAGTTCAGTTCAGTTCAGTGTGTCTTTTCTGACTTAGTCAATGTCCCACACCCTGGCTCCCCATTACCGTAAAAGGGAGCTCTGCTCATGGCATGGTTGGGAACATTTAGTCCCTGACTGTAGGAGGGGGAGACAGATAGCTTTACTGTAGGCTCATAGCAGCACCTGGATACGCACACGCTAGCTATGCGGGCAGGAGGCTTACTGAGAGGAAACACAACAATGCTGTCTCTAGCTGGGGGAATAAGTAATATATGAATTAATATAGAAACTGAGTCAGTAAGTATGAGAGATGGCACTTTTTCTTTTCTGATACTGATGCCGATATTGGAAACTTGAGTATCGTCTGATACTGATCATATATTTTTTCTTTGAAAACTTGCTAAGCTTTACAAAGAGCTATTTTTAATCGAAGCACCTCACTTCAGACGAGCATCTAAAAGTAGGCTATCATACTCAAACTGCTGAAACACTCTACCCTCCCACAGAAAAAAATACAGAGCTAACACAATGTGAGTGAGTAGAATTTCAGGCTAGATTTGTTACAGGATTGATTGGACCCTATGTGGCTAAAAGGATGTATAGCTGTCAAGAAGCTTTTACTGAGAAAAGAAAATAGACAAAATATTGAGAACATTTACAAACCAGACAAAGAAGCTGCAAATGTTCTCACAACAATGGACCTCAACTTCATTTAAAGTGATTTAGATTGCTTAGATCGTGAGAATTTGAAAATACAACTAGCTTCTAAGACTGAACTTTGGAGGTGTGGAAAAATATCCCTGAGATTTCTGTGAAAAACTGACGAGCAAGTCTCCCGAAAAGAGTGGAAGCAGTGAGTCAGGTGAAGGGTGGACACACTAAATACTGTTGAGTTGTTATAAATATATGTATATATATATGAAGTAAAGTTCATATAACAACAGAAACATAACTTAAAGAAGGCCAGATTGGACCATGTCAAAATACCTGTGGGCTGAAATGTTATTCCTGAGTGATTCAAAACATTACATTTTCAAAACATGACAAATACGACCATGTAGAGCAACGGATCGATCTAAGCGTCTTGGTGGCGATCCATTCTGAGAATTTGGCGATTTAGCACGTATGAATAGGCCACCATTACCAGTTCCGACCAGTGCATGTTCACGCTGGTCATAGTGAAACGTATCAGCACGTAAAATCTTTCTGTGCACTATTGTGTTTCCAGTCACTGTATAAAAGATGCATGAGGCTTCCTTTATTGTTGAATTGCTTATTCACAGCAATCAGGATTGGTAAAACTTAAAAAATGAAAAAAATGATTGATTTAATTTTAGAATTTAATATGATTTTAGAATTTCTTAAGATTCTCTGCCCTCCCCTGAATGTTTATTGTAACGTCCATGCTTTGTTTCATGTCTGTTGATATTAAATTCATTACAGTCTTTTGCCATATGAGGCACATACATTTGCTGTGGCTCTCAATAAAAAAGTATTTAAATTTCCATCTCGCCAAAATCATCAGTTTTCAGTGTTAAGTTTGTGCTTTATAGCTGTCTTGACTAATTGTGATTCAGTAAATTAATCTGCAGGTCTAGTCAGAGGAGAAAGGCTTTGAAACTTTAGCTAACTTCGTTACCACAGTGCGATGCATTACACTGTAATTTTATGATATTACTGCCACCATCAGGTCAAAAGAAAAACTACAATGTATTGGTTAGTAGGCCACTTATAAAACACTGTAAAACAGAAGTCACGGGCCAAGTAAAATTTTTCTGTGGGCCATGTTTGGCCCTGCTGCCGGACTTTGGACACCCTTGAAATAGCCAGTAAACAGGTAGTTAAATATGGGTGACCAGTTATTTAAAGTGATGTTTCAAATTCACACCGAATTCCCCAAAATGTAGCAGTAATACTGAAACCTATAGATTTATTCCCAAACTGTCGCTTTATGTGACTTCTGAAGATGCTGATTAAACCTGTGGTTAGACCTGATGTCGCTCCACACGAACTGGGTATCAAATAAACCTCCTTGATCAGGCTCTAGTGTTAGGGTTCCTACATTCATTATGAACCATTGTGCGATGGTTTTCATCTTGCAGTATTTGCAGATTCCACAGGTTTGTGAATCAGCCTAAAGGCTTTAATGACTCTGCTTAGACGGTGTGCAGAGGCACTCACCATGTCCAGGATGTGTGAATGGCATTTCTGTTTGTGTCCCTGTTGCCCACAAAGCCGTCCCTCTGAGTGAGGCCACCTGGTCTCAGCCAACAAATAATTCATCACCTGGGCCTCGGGAGAAAGCTGGGAGGAGAGAATGAGAAGGAGAGAAGGAGGAAACAGGAAAGAAGGAGAAAATGAGTTTGGTGGGGGGTGTTGGAGGCCATGCGGCTACATCGGCTGTTTCTCATTAAAGATTGAAAACACGCTGGGTCGTTTATTCTGCTGGAAAGGACAGGCTGGAAGGAGAGGGCTGTAGCCCAGTTGCTTTAGCCCTGGCTGGCAAGTGTATTGTGCCTTAAGGCCATGAGAGCAGCTGTAAACAAAGCATCGATTTAACCTCGTTGTGGTGCTCTCCCACTGCAGATATTTCACATGCCTTTGAATGAAGACCTTCACTTGTGGTCACAAGTTAAATGACTATGCCAGAAGCAGAAATCTTTCCATCAAGTAATGGTCTGTTTGGTGTGTGTGATCGTGCAGGGCTATCTCTCTGAGGGCATGGTGACTAAGTGGTATCGCTCCCCTCGTCTGCTGCTGTCCCCAAACAACTACACTAAGGCCATCGACATGTGGGCTGCCGGATGCATCCTGGCTGAGATGCTGACAGGACGCACACTCTTTGCAGGTCAGACTGGATACTAGTCAAAAATAGTTCATTTCAATCAAGAAAAAGCATATAACAGAGTTTTTTTTACATAATTTTGTAAACCCATAGAGAACTGATGGTATTATCATTGCTTTGCTATAAACTTGATTCACAAAACATATTGTCGCTGTGGGAACAAAACCTTGTACCTCCATTTTTCAGTTCTCAGAATTATCCCTTTTAAAATTTACGGCAAAGGTAGCAATAGAAATGCAACAAAAAGTCTTGTTGTACTGATTTCCATTCAAAGTAATGGGATTTTTTCCTTTTCCTGAAAATTTACCATTTTGAAGATGGTTTTGTTGTGATATATATTTTTATGTATATGGTTGTTTGTATATATTACATTATTAATTACAACTATGTAATTAATAATGTAATATATGCATACAAACAAACAACAAAACCATCTTCAAAGTGGTAACTTTTACATAGTTGTTTAATGAATAGGGCTGGACCATTTACTAATTTTTAGTGGATTTAACACCTACATTCAAGCCAAGTCCACTTTTTTTTTACTAAAAACTGAGAATGTGGGTAGAAGTGGATTTATTGAGAAGGAACCACAACACAGTTGTTTTTCTTTTAGCCAGTCAAAGTTAAGAGCCCATTCTGTTAAAACAGGTACAGGAGCTGAAGCTCTACACCAGCTCTTTGTGTGTGTATGTGAGGTGGGGCTTGAAGCTACTAGAAGATGTGTTTTTGGCTTTAAGCATTAAAATGAGCGAACAAACTACAGGAGCAACCATTAGCTCTGTTGTAAAAATGTTCATGTTTTTAAAATGACCTCTCTTTGTTATACTTGTTATTTTTTTGTGCATGTTAAACTTGGACTTGGTGTGAAAAGGCTGTACAACTTTGTCGTCCACTCTGGTGGAAACTTTTCTAGATAGACAAGCTAACACCTCTTTCACTCTCATAATAATCATTCATTTTATTGCCGTTGTCCTGTGTGTATTTGAGGATACACACAAAATGTTTCAGCCTCAGATCTTAAATCAATCCAGCAAACATCTCCAGCCCAATGTTTGCTTAAAAGCCGTACACCAGAAGCTGAAACTTTATCATTCACTTCATTATTTCTTTGAATATAGCATCCCCTTGCATCCTCCTCAAATTCAGCCCTGCCTATATATGCTTAAGGTTATACTGACCCAGTAATGAATTACATTTATATTGAATTTAATGAGTCCAACATTTCCATTGGTTTCAATATAAACAATGACAAGAACTGGTCAGAAATGTAAAGGATGATTTTTCTTTGACGAAATTATAAACATCAAACCCAAATCATAATAAAATATCTCTTTTTCTACTCACGATCACAAATATGGTATTGACTGAACACTTAGAATCTGCACTTTGGGCAGAATTTCTGTGCTTGTTTCAGTGAGTGAGCTATGAATGAAAAATAATTCAACAAAATATAAGAAATTTTTATATATTGGGGGATCCAGGAGGTTTAATAGGGGTGCATAGATCTAAGTACTCAATTCAGTCAAATAGCATTTCCGTTTAGGAGTAATCTGATAACGTGGGGGTGTGTGTGTGTTTTTCCAATGTTTTTTTTAGATTGATACACACCAGAGATGACTGAAGCTGAAATTATTTTAGAATTTATACCCTTGTGTCAGAATCTCACTACAGAAAAAAACTGACAGCTGGAGCAGTGATGATTGATTTTCAGCCATGTGTGTAATTTGTCCCAGAATGTTTTTAAGGCCTCAGTAATTACTCAGTTTATGTAGAATCTATAGTCCAATTTTTGGTTGTTGATAGCATATGGGACTGCACTACAGTACAAACATCACATAAGTAAGAAGGCTCCTGTGATGGCTTTATATCTCTAGATAAGAAACGGAGGCGAAAGTCTAATTCTAAACTGAATTAAGGCTAAGAAAGCAAGCACCCACCATTGGAGCCAGGTGTGAAGACCCCATTGTATTTTCCACAACTACAGCATAGAGGATTGCTTAGAAGGAAATAACAAGGAATTTAGTAGGGACCATATCATGGAAAACTTGCGTTTCCTTTTACTTTTGAAAAGTGAGATGTATTTAAATAATTCCTAAATGTACAATTCACTCTACAGTCCATACAATCCATATATGTGTGATAACTTGTTTCAAATTCATTATAGTTTAGCCTACAGCCGTTTAGCCACTATATGTTGAAGTAATAAAGAGTGTTGTTACTGCAGAAAATGTGTAACAGAGTCACTGGAGTGGAAGACGTGGAGGGAAACCTAAATGTCTAAAGTTTGTTAGACATGTCAGCTCAGACTGCTTTTTGAATGAGGTAACAAAGAACAGAGGTCGGTCAGTTCTAAGGATTAAAGAGAAGGTGGAAAATGGTTATGTAATAATGAATTATGACATTCTAAGTGGACTTTAGGGGATAAAAAATAAAATACAGGTATATCTGCCCTTTCTGGAAAACGAGTCTCTGTTTTTTCCAGTTTTCCAACACAACACAAACTTGACCTCATATCAGCGTAAGACGCTGCTGTAATCTATGTGACAGCCTCACCCTCATGCCTTTGCTGTGCAGGTGCTCACGAGCTGGAGCAGATGCAGCTGATTCTGGACACGGTGCCCGTACTGAGGGAAGAGGACAGGCAGGAGCTGCTGAAGGTCATGCCCTTTTACGTCAGCCGTGGCTGGCGGGTCAGGAGATCGCTGCGGGAGCTGCTGCCCGAGGTGGAGGACGAGGGTGAGAGATAAATGGAGAAAGATGGTGGGAGGTGCTGAAAGGGGGATCTTTTTAGTTCCTCTATTTGATTGAGCCCTGTGGGCCAGTCCATATCATGGAGAAATGACTTTTCCTCTCTCTTTTTTTTAATTAAAGTTTGATGTAGTATGTAAAAGTTCCAAAACATACCATTAACTTCACTCATGTGGCAACGATGAGCACATTTATATACATATGAGCATTTTTACATATAAAACGCACACATATGTATAAAAAACACACAATCACAATAAGTGGGAAATGAAATAAGAAATATGTAGAATATGGGCCCATTAAGCATTAATGAACAATACGATAATCCCCAAAGTCTTTGACATATTGCTACATTTTATTGTCTAGTTCAGATGAAATGAGGAGTGATTAGGTTTTGTGTGATGTTTAATGCGACTTTGCATATTGCAGGCACATGCTGTCAAAGCTTCTAACCTATACATTACCCATAATGCATTGTTATTGCCTCTGCAATGCAGTGCTGCAAGGCAAAAGCAGCCTTTCATTGGCAGTTGAATGCACTTCTGGAGTATCACAGTCCAATGCAGCAGTCAGTGTGACGAGTACATTAGCCTGAGAGCATTAACACACTGTTAACTGAGGAGCTCTCAAGGCCTGGATTCACTAAGCATATAAATAATTATCTATATAAGTGCTAATGAAGTTATGAAGTTATTTAGTATGAGCTGTATAGAAGATCCTCACACTGGATTCTATGTTGTGTATGTTTGTGACATCAAGGTAATGCTGATTTATGAATGTACTGTAGTGTTTGTAATAAGGGTTTGTAAGCTGGGTGGGGTCAGAGGCAACTACTTTTGCTGAATAAGTGAGCTGGACAGAAGTATTAAAGCATTAGACTTTCTCAGCATTTATTAAGCAGCGCAATTGATTTGATAACACCTGCGATCATGTATATCTCCTTGTCATTTATCCAACATCAACACAACTTTTTATGGCTTTTCTCAGCTGTAGACTTCTTGGAGCGGATCCTGACCTTTAACCCGATGGACCGGTTGACAGCAGAGGCCGCTCTGTCTCACCCATTCCTCAGGCACTATTCCTGTCCCCAAGACGAGCCTGTGTCCCTGCAGCCCTTCCGCATAGAGGACGAGCTGGAGGACAGCCTGGTCAGCGAAAACAGCTACCCGCTCAGCGGCCGCTGGGACAGGTAACGTATCCACTTCCTTATCCTGCTTTGATGCCCTCAGCAGGGCAGATATAGACTGTGTTCTTTGCTCTCTCCTCCTTAAAGTTTTCAGCACCTGTGGTGTAGTAAGCGAAGGCTTGTTATATTGCAGTCTAGCAACATACAGTAGGACTTTACTGACAACAGGCTTTGTATCATTTGGACATATTGGCCCTTATTCATCAAAGCTGCATACAGTCAAATCTCATTGTAAAATGAGCAAAAACAAATTTCACCAAGGGTTTTGTTATTCACCACTTTCATCTTTAGCATATCTGTATAATCAACACACGTCTGGTAGGAGTGTGTAAATTTACAGTTTAACCACCTGAAAGCAGTGCTTGATTTGTGATTAACTAACTAAAATATAATATAATAATATAATAATGTGACAATTACAATAGAATAACACAAAAGTGGATATTCTTATTTTTACATGCACATTGGAACAAATGCTGCAACTGTTCCTTGTGTCATTTAAAGACACATTACACTGTGTTTTTGTTTTATACAACTGACACTGCCCAATAAAGAAAAACACAAAACACAGCTACTGCAGAAGCATCTCATACTTCGCAATAATACAGCATTTACATATGTTATTTTAGAAAAATAATCACACTACACAATCATGCCATTCTACCGTGTTAAAAAAAAATATTTTGTTTATTTCATATTTTATTCATTCTGGTCATCGTAATTTTAACACTGTAAAGTTTGGTCAGTAGCGGGGAGCCATGCACTCACTGATTGACCTCTGTACTTTCTCAGTTGGCTCACAAGCCACTGAATGCTGTTGCTTCATTGGCTCCCTACCAAAACATCTGCATGAATTAGGGCGTGCTTTATGAAGATGAGATGTGAATGAGGTACTGGTAGGCTGGCGCTTGATTTCACGCACTTTCAAGCTGATCCATCATTTGCGCCAAAATCTCAGCTTGTTTCCACAGCATAAAAAGTTTATTTAATCACAGTCATTTGTACCACTTTGTCTTTAAATAACAGTAAAATCTGTGCTCTCTTTTCAAACAACTTTGATGAATAAGGGCCATTAGTACAGTCTTAAGAAAATCTCCTAACTCTATGTGATACCAAACACTAGCTTCCTTCATGAGGAAAGGGCCAACAGAAATTCTGAAAAGCAAACTTCACAATTCTTTAAAGGATTTTAAGTTAAACATGGTTGCTTCTCTGAAGTTGCTATGTGAATACTGAGTGGTTCATTTTGGGTTACGCTGCACTACATGGACCAAAATGGACACCCCTTCAGATTAGTGGTTCTGAATGTTTCAGCCACACTCACTGCTAACAGGTGCTTGAAATCAAGCCATGCAATCTGCGTAGACAAACACTGGCAGTAGATTTCGTTGTGCTGAAGAGTTCAGTGTCTGCCGTAGGATGCCACCTGTCAAACGTTTGTCCAACAAGTTCTTCAAATTTCTGCCCTGCTAGAGCTGTTCTGGTCAACTGAGATTGTTGTTATTGTTACTGTTTGTGGAAATGTGTAGGAACACTAACTAAAGAACCAGCTGTGAAGTGGTAAGCCACACAGACTCACCTGTCCTTGGTTGCAGCACACAAACTGGTCCAAACGGCCTCTGGAGGCATCGGCACAAGTTTTCTGGAAAAAAGTTGACTGGCCTGAACAGAGCTTTAGAAACACGTTCTCTGTAGTGATTAATCACACTTCTCTATCTGGCAGTGGTGGATGCAGAACAACGCTACCTTCCCAAATACCGAGTGCCAAGTGTAAAGTTTGGTGGAGGTGGAATAATAGTCTGGAGCTGTTTTTCATGGCTTGGGCTCCTTAGTTCCTGTGAAAGGACATCTTAATGCTACTCTCTTAAAAATATGGTTCTTTAGTAAAGACGTGGACATTAATACTCAAAGAATCCATTGCATGATTAAAATGGTTCTTTGTATTGTGAAATGATTCTTCAGATTGGTGGAGAGTGTTGTATATGGTTCCATATAGAACCTTTTTGAAAAGGGTTCTATATAGGACCAAAAATGGTTCTCCTAGTGTTACCATGTCAAGCTTGTAATAATAGCAGAACCCTTTGTGGTGCTATATATAACCCTTTTCAGAAAGGTTCTATATAGAACCATCTATAGTACATTCTCCTTAAATCTGAAGAATTGCTGAAGAATTTTAGAATGCAAAGAACCCTTTAATCATGCAGAGGGTTCTTTGACTGTTCATGGTTCTATATAGAACAGTTGTTTTTCTAAAGGACTCTTGAAGAACCCTCTTTTTTAAGAGTGAACGACATTCTAATGAATTGTATGCCTCCAGCTTTGTGGCAGCAGTTTGAGAAAGGTTGCTGATTCAGAATGACAGATTCCATGCGGGTCCATAATAAAATGATTTGACGAGTTTGGTAAGAAAAAGGTTGACTGGACTGTTCAGAGCTCTGACCTCACCCACATCAACACCTTTGGGAATAATTGGAACACCAACTGCCAGTTAGGCCTTATCGCCCAACATCAGTACCTGACCTCATTAATGATTTTGTGGCTAAACTGAAGCAAATCCCCACAGCCATGTTCTAAAATTTAGCGGAAAGTCTTCCCAGAAGAATAGAAGCTGTTACTGCAGCAAAGGGGGGACCAGCTCCATATTAATGCCTGTAGTTTTGAATTATGATGTTCAGCAAGCACATATGGATCTGACATTTGGGTGTCCACATACATGGGGCCATGTAGTGTTTGATTTCAGTACAATTTAGTAATATTTCTATTATATTATACTATTAGAATGCACTCATTAATTTTAGTATCTGCACCGAATGTCAACATATTCAAAGTTGCTACTCAATCCCACTCTACCTTGCAGTTGCATCCCACTGAAAACGAGTTACAGTGTTTGTTATGTGGTATGTTTGACAGAGCCCAATATAATACATTATTTCTACTTTGTAGAACAGAAAATAGAGCAAAGAATTAACTCAAATAAGAACATACTGATTTACAGTTTATTGATCTGTGATGTTTAAACATGCTCTGTCAGCTGCAGCCATAAATACGATCATTAAAAGACGATATCTGGCTACATGATTTATTATGGAGTAGAATGAAAGCCGGTATCACAGCAGAGGGAGGTTATCAGGGACAAAACTCAGGGCTTACTGATAGTGAGAGCTGGTCACATATAAAAAAGGCATGTATCTCCTTAATTATGTCTCACAGTTGAACATCTAATGACAACTAAAAACCTGTCATTGTTGTCCTTTCCTCAGCCAGATGGTCTAATCTGAGGTGTGGGCCATTATTTACAGCTCACAGTATAAGCAGGTGGAGGTTAATCAGGCTGGTAGCCCCTGGGGGAGCAGGCTTTAGTGGCTCTGAAAGAAAAAAGGCCAAATGGAGACTTTAATGATGAAAGAAATATGGCTGAAGACCAAATGGGGACTTCAGTGGCTTTGAAAGCAAACCAAGTGTCAGGCTGTTGCCAAGTCATATATAAAAAGTCTATTGTGCCACAAGGTACTCCAGCGTTAAGTAGTTATAGGGGGTTTTAAGGGTTATTTGTTTTAATTTCTTTTTTTTTCCCCTCACCCAAATGACAAGACAGGTTCTAGCCTGATTTAGATCTTACCTGCCAGAGTGCTACTAATTTGTTAGTGATAATGGGAAATTTTCCAAACATCGAAAAGTGCAATATGGTGTCTCACAAGGCTTTATTTACTTTGCAGCCCTTCAGACAAACATTTTCCAACTCGAAGTTGGCCACTACTTTCATGATGATGATGCAGTTATATATATCAGTTCAGCCAGATTTATTTACACACTCATGCAAAATGTTAAAGATAAAAGTCTGGGTGACCAGGAACTTCCTTCTACTAAATTCTGATATAACAGAAGTATCGCGGTTGTGCTCCACAGAAACAAAGGTCACAGATTTTATCCTTGACCTTAAAGGTTTTTCTGTGCAACCAAAAGCTACAGTCAAGGACGTTGGAGTCTTAATCCAGTAACATCTCAAAGGCATTTTCTCACTTCAAAAGCATATCCAATATGCCACATAGTAACTCTGCAGAGATCAGTTCATGCTTTCATAACTTCTAAATGAACTGTAACTTGTTACTTACTGGTTGCCCTGTTGTCTCTCTAAATATGCAGCCTGTTTGCTCACCAGGCAATTTCTGAGCATATTGCTCTGGTCTTATTCAGTCCACACTCACCTCCTGCAAAGTTCCACATTTTGTTTATGACACTTAAAGCTTTTAATGGCCTAGCTCTGGCATATCTTGCCAAACCTTTGAAGCATTATAGCCTGTCCAGATCACTTCGCTTAGCTGAGGCAGGCTTACTGCAAACTTCTCGCATCACTTACAGCTCAGATAATGGAAGTTTTTTTTTATAGAGCTCTGGAATAGCATTTACTGTTTCATTATATTTTGTCCTCCCAATATTTAACTTATCTTCTGAGTGAACACTTTGAGATTTTGTAACTAAAATTAAAAGTGCTATATAAATAAGGACTTACAGTTCTTGTTATTATGTACCCTGACTTTGCTGCTTAGTTGTTGAATTGCACTACTGAATATGTTTATTGTTCATTTATGTAGGCTATTCTGTATATGTAGTAGAAGAAGCCAAAGAAAAATTTCCTCTATCAGTATTAATTTGCTCGGAAAAACGACAACGTTAGAATAAAAACTAATCAACTAAATAGAATCAGTTTTAAGTGTAGAATAGAATAGACTAATTAGCCTAAATGCAATACATTGTCTGCATTTTATGTATGTGGGTTGGCTTAACTTTTCCAACGTTTCCAGATCTCTCCTTGAGGCAGCCCAGAATTGGTAGTTGCCATTCAATACCTGTTTCAGCCAGAGGAATTTAACAAATCCAGGCAGTGGCTGAGGTGCAGAGATGAGAAGAAGAACTAAATCTGTGCTCTTCTAACCGTATCACAGGATATCAATGACTTTATGGAAAACAAGACATTCTTTTTACTGCATTAATGTTTATTTGTATTTATTCCAGTGTTATTTTAAGGCTTTACAAGCAAAAACACTCAGTGCTTAAGCATTTTAAGGTCTTTTATATAGTAGTGTGTACTTTACCTTCATCTGAAAGTAGTGATCCAATGTTAGAAATAAATACAATTGATTTTAAGAATATTAAGTTGGTGCTAACATTTTGGCCTAAGCATAAAGATAATCATACCTATTTTTGTTGTCTACACTCCACTACAGCTGCATTTGTGTATTTAGTGTTTTTTTTCTTAATCATACCAAAATAATAGAATCCTGTTAAATTGCCTTGCGATTTTATGACGCATTGAATTGTATATTAAGAAATGATATTGGGATCAAATCACTGTGAGGTCATGGACTTGCATCCTTGACTGTCAGTAAATTCCTCTTCTTCTCTCGATCCCTCTCAGTCTTTCATCAGACCTGTGCTGGCAGCAGCAGGAACCGTGTGGGTGTATGCAGAGCGTGTCTGAGCTGGGAGAGGCTGAGGAAGACGAGGTACAGCGAGACCCCCGGGCCACTTCAGCCTCCGTCATCGAGGAAGCCCAAGTGGACCCACGCAAATACTCGCACAGCAGCTCAGCCGAACGTTTCCTGGAGCAGTCCCACTCTTCTTTGGATAGAGTGTGCGGTCACTACATGGAGCTGGACTGCGGACGTTCCTGCGACTACAAAGTGGGCTCTCCGTCCTACTTGGATAAGATAGCGTGGCGAGAAGGGAAGCCGCAGCACTATTCGGAGCCCAAGCTGATACTGGACTTGTCTCACTGGAAGCGCAATGCCCTCCCAGGGCCCAGAGGGGGCAGCGTCGAGCAGGTTCCTCCAGAGGAACCTGCGAATTTGTTCAAAGAAATCTCACGCTGGGTGGAGAGCACACAGTCAGGCCTCCACTCTCCAGGTTCACCTCAGGAACCTCCCAACTCCCCTTGTTCTCCTCCTTTGCCCCTTTCCCCAACTTTACTCCCTCATTCCCTCGCCCAAACACGGCCTCCTTCAATGCTGCACACGTCTAATCTTCTCCACCAGCATAGTCGGAGAAGTCCTATTCCTTTCTTTACTTCTCCTCCCTCTCTGCTACCTTCCTCGCCTTCTTCTCCCACTCCAGGTCCATCCAACACATTTCAAAGCAACCCTCAACCTTCACCTTCACTCCCCTATACCGGAGAAGAACATTCACCCTTTGACTTGGATGTGTTCATCTCACAAGCACTAAGACTGTGTAGTCAAGGTGATGAAGCCGATTCTTCCAAGCAAGGCAATGTTAGCTGCACTTCTGGCCTCTCGGACCACAAACCGTCCAGAACTCAAACCTCAACGTCGGAGATGGTCAAGGCTCAAGGCTGCCACAAAGAGCACTGGTAGAGGAGTGTGGAGCATGGCGAAGGACCTACAGTAGGTTTCTTCAGTTTGTGAGATTTCTTAGTGCTGCTCTTGCAAGTATGCATAGATTTATGAATGTGTGACTTGCTCAAGATAATACACAAACCATTGTTTTGCGAATGCTGATTATGAACCTATAATGGAAACATATCTGAATGTATTTTCATGGTTCTTTTAAGATCCTTTTTAAAGGCACCCTGGTAAACAATCTCTGAAATTCAGAAATTCTGACTGTTTTTAACTCAAACTTCATACGCTCTGCAGAGGAGTTACTTTTTATACAGCTCTATTCTTCACCTTTGCAATAGTACCCAGAGGAGGTTTGTCTGTTGGATGGCTATTTCCAATGTTTTCACTCAATAAACTTATTCTTTATAATACATGACTTGTGCTTTTTCTATTGCCCTCTCATTTTAGCCAGCACTTTTCCCATTAGGCTGACAATCATCTAATTACAGTAAATCAAATACTCATGAAAGTGTGGCACCCATGAATGAAACAGATCATACACAGTTCTGTTATTCTTTGTAATTTTAATTCCCATAATTTAATTAGTTAAAATGCAGACAACTCTCACAAAAAATGCAAAAGAAATAAAACAATAATACAGTACATATGCAGTTAAGGGTAGTATTGTTAGGTCTACAGCCTTGTCTTAAGAGGGTACCAGACAGTTTACAGCATGGCACTAACAGCATGGCAGTACAGAGACAACACATAGCAGGCGTCAGCAGGCCAGCAAAGGAGTAGGCTACATTCTGTCTAGTTTTAAATGCAGATGAGAACATAGAAAATAAACGCAATCAGTACATCCACTAAGGGAGAATGTTGATATGCTGCCAAGAAGAAAACTGGAACCTTCACCTTTTTCCCTACACCATTAACTAGATGGTTTCCTTGCACAAAAAATCCACTGATGTGATACTGTATACTGATAGGTTGAATTCATATCAGGTTTGTTCATAACCACAATGATTTACTGATTTTCAGAAGGGTTTTGCAAGTTTTCTATGAAGCTCCACGAAGCATAGCCATTGGCACTTTTGTCCTAAGTGAGGGATCTGTTTTTAGTTAAATGCTACCCTCCTGTGGCCGCGCATGCTACTGCATACTCTGAGAGACATTGGCCGTATGAAGTTTCACTATATACACATAAATATGCCAGCAATAGAAAGAGCAACTGCCGAAAAGCAGGTAATGTCACCGGCTGGTTTGTAAGAGTGACAGGTCTGGTGAAAAACCTCGCTGTGTTCCCATCTGTCTAAACAATGGTAACGCCACTGCTGTGGAGGTTCTATCTGGCAACTTACTATTGCAATGCAGGGAAACAAAATTACAAAGTATTTTTTTATCCTTTACTTTCCAAAAATAATCATGAACATCGCTGAATTTGAACAATTAGCAACCACTCTCTCGCTCTCTCAAACAAAGGAGAGAATTCCCTGGGCAAAAGAATCAATGGATATATGGAATCTCTCAAAGTATCCCTCAGTGTTTTTAGTCTGTTAAAACCCTTACCTGAATTATTCTGTTATATATTGCATTAATCAAGAAACCATTAGATCAGGACATATTTTAGATCCATTTCTCAACATCACATAAATGTCTAACAGGACTTGTTCGAGCCCAGTTCACTCTCCATGACAAAAGTCAGCACTCAAGGTAAAACTCAGATATGTAGAAAAATATAGTTTGAATGAAATTTATATATCTATTGATTTAATTTTTTTAAATCACACCCATCATGTACAGTTTTATTATTCCTTTTTTTTCTAAGTGCAGCGGTGTACGAGTAACACATGATCATATTTCACACCGCTACAAACTAAAACATGAAAGGACATGAGACACCTTGCACTATTCCTGGTTATTTCTTACTTCATTTGTAGTTAATAGTTTGTCTTTCATTGACATTTTTAGGCAACTGTAATGAGTTATTTCTACAATATGACAATGTAAACACCACAGTACTGAAGTTACTGTATCTGACAAACAGTAAAGCACAATATTACAAGGCAAATGGCCATTGAAGCATAGATTTGTTCATGATGAAAGATAAAAACAAAAAGTATAATACACACACAAGGAAAAAAAAAAAGTTAACACTTTGCATTGGTTCAAAGCCACACGTTGTACAAATCTGGTGACTATCCAGAGGCAGAGTATTAAGGTGTCTTTCAAACCACCGTCCTAATGTCAACATCAGCCACACCTGGCTAAGCAAACAACTGAAACAGAACTGAACGACCAGTAACCATCGACAATGACCTATTGATATGTTGACCTCATCTGACCACACATGCTGTGTCCGCATGGCCGCGTTCTGACCAAAGGTTCTAAAACATGCTCTCACAGTCAAAAATCAACCAAACTCTTCCTTTCTCGATCCATTTGTAGCGCTGCAACAGCAGATTCAACACAATGTCTGCACACGGTCCTGTCTGACGAATGATATTGCTGAGGTGTCTCAGTGTGTTATCAGCTGCATGTATTCAGGACTTTGCATGGAGAAACAGTGGGATTACATCAAGTGACACTGTAGTGTTAATGTAATTCACCACATTTGTGCACTGGAGGCCATATTTATCCACAGAGTGTCTAACACTGCCTTATTAAAAGAGTACGTGCGAATGCTGGTGTAGTGATGGTGGTTGTGTATGTGAGTGTGTGCGTGTGTTTGTGCAATGGGACAGCACTGTGTGCTGTTAAGTAGGTTTTGGCTGTAGCTGCACGTATAGGCATTATCTTGGCATTATTTTTATTAATGGGGTCTACTGGCATTTTAATATACTTCTGGATATTGTTTTGTTTACAATGTTGTATTTAATATTTACCAGAACCGTTAAAAGCATTCTTGTAAATCAGCACAGATAAACAGATTTCTCAAATAACCTTAAAAAGGGATGAATGGGAGACTAAAAAAAGCTTCCAATTGCAATTGAAGTCTTTGGTAAAACATTTCTACGAAGAGCTAAGTGAATTATTGAGACACCTCTACTGTATAAGTCATGGTTCTTGACACCCCAGAAGAAAGTCAATTTTAATAGCTCTTATATTAGAAAAAACACATTGGCAGGTCTTGTTTTGGACAATTTACAGTGTCTTACGTCCAAAATCATTTTAGACTTCTTGTAAAGTACGATATTTAGCATTCATGTTCAGCTGATCACAGATATGTGCAGTATTAAGATTTCCCCCCAGTTCCAGTGAGTAGGAAATGCCTTGCTAAGAGGGAGTTGGGGGGGGGTACATTTGGTTTAAATATGAGCTTTAGCCAGAGAATTATCATAAAAAAAATTATTTTTGATTTGTTTGAAACATTATAGTCTTGTGATATTTTCATTATCATTTCTTTGTATTGATCTCCAGTAGTTTATGACTCTGTCAAAGCTTCGTATCTGTCAATACTCCGGCCCAGCACTGAAGCTTCTATAATATTAAGAGACATCGAGACAGGAAGAGCAAATAAAAATGTATCCAAAGTCCATCATGGAAAATATGTACAGTAGAAATGTTAGCATACATAATTAAGTGTGATATCCTTCTTATTACTTCTATTTTAAAAAAGCTTACGGAAATGTCTGAATAAATATAAAAGGGGTTTTATTTACCCCATAATGATGATTAAAATCTGATTCTTAGTGTTTTACTCCACTCTCCACTTTTATTTTGACTCACTCACTAGCTTTGCTTTTGGATGGCAGAGAGCTGGTTGAGGTTGAGGTATGCAAACTTGTATGACACAGTATTTACACTTAGCTGATTTTAGGGACCTTAAATCATAGCTCAATCAGATACAGCAGTTATTGCAGTGTATTATTTGCATGGCCTGGACAGTTTTTTTACAGTTTACTTAAAAATTGAACAGTTTTTGCATTTCAGTGTATACGGTATATGATATACATCCAGTATGGTGCAGACCAAATAAAGCCTGAAACAGGCCCATAGGTCATTTAATGTAGCAGATTGATTACGCTCTGCCATATGTTGCTTTATGAGCCCTCTTTTCTTGTGTAATGATATTGTGAGTGGTCATTTAAGAATACATGCACTTCTTGTGTGCGTGCCTGTTCATATGTGCGCATCTGACCGTTTGACCATGTAGACACAGCCTTGACCGTGAGCAAACTCTGCCTGCATGCCCACAGGTTTAGAGACATTTTTTTTTTGATAATGAAATGCACTGCTTCATGAGACATACTGTTTCTGCTAACATTACAACAGCTAAAACTGAAAAAAAAGAAAAAGAAAATAAATACTTGTAGATAAAACAAAGAACATTACGTCAGAAAATTCTGGATGCTCCCCAGGCAGCTTTTAAACACTCCCCCCCCCCCGGCCATCTCCTCATCTCCATCAACTCTATTTCAATCTCTCTACTCATCTTACCATCTTTCGGTCTACTGATTTTTTTTTCTTGCCTTTGCCCCCATCGCCTCATTATACATTCTCTCTATCCCTTGTGCTCCCTCTCATACGAAAGGCAGGATGCCGTAGACGAACAGGGCCATGACAGCAGCACTGAACAGGCCTGCTACAGGGACCGTGACAAACCAGGCCAGGAAGATGTTGCGAAACAGACGCCAGTCCACGGCCTTCCGGGAGCGGAGCCAGCCCACGGCCACCACCGAGCCCACCTGGACGCGCACACAGACACACACACACATAGAACAATCAGCAGAAGCACTGAACACACCTCACAATATCAACATATTAAGCTGCAGGACAGAGAAAACTAGATTAGTAAAAGCATACAAAAGGGTCTAATTGCATTTTGTCATAGTAGCTGTTGCAAAGTTAAATAAGCTTTACAGAACGCTGGCTATAATCTCATTCAACCTAATGAGAACCTGTAGCGTATATTTAGGGATATTCAATTTAGAGTGTTATTCATTTCAAATAATATTTATTTTGCATGTGTGTTGAAGGTCACACCTTTATGACAGGGGTAACTCCATTATTTGGGTACCATTTGTGCCCCAGTGATATTACATTTACATACACACCTCCTAGTATCTACACTCTTTGTCCATTTTCTCAGATCTTAGCATACAGGTGCACTTTGCAGTTCTACAGTTACAGAATGTGGTCCATCTATTTCTGTGCATTCTTCGATAACCCCCTTTTACTCTGTTATTCAATGGTCAGGACCCCCACAGGAACACCACAGAACAGGTATTGTTATAAAATTGAGTGTAGGTACAAGAAGGCGTACTTAATGAAATGGCTGGTTGGAACATGCATGTAAAGACATTTTAAACACAGATTAATTATCATTGTTTCAGATAAATAACTGAAAATATTAATAAAACCTATCAACAGCACTTAGAAAACAGTAATTTTTAGCCTGTTCCAGCACACTATACTACACCTTACCTTGAAATACAATCATTAGAACATGAGTCATCCATTACAGGTTATGAAAAATGTACATTTCAGTTAGTGTAACTTAACATTCACTCAACACTGTTACCACTGTTACCACTGTAACACATTCAACCACATAAAACATCTGAAATATTGCACGTGACATATTCAGTATTTGACATGTTCAACGAATTTGCATCTTCCTAATTTCCTTTCAGAATACGGGAAGAAGTAAAGTACATTTCCTTGTTTCTCTTTTTTATTTTTAGTGAAACTGTGATATTGACTCACCAGATCACTTTGAACATTACCTAAATTCTAAGTTAAAAGTAAGTTATTAAATTGGAAAATAAAGTAAATAATTAGAATGACCTTATATTAGTTAACCACATCTTGTGTATTTGCTAATTCTATGCAAAAAAACTCAATCCTGTAAGTACTTTAGAGCACTCTCAGCAAAGAAACCTTGTAAAAATCTTTAAAGTTCCTGAGGTGGCGTAACACATATTTCTGAATGGTTAACTGCATAATTTCCTAGAGTTAATGTTGAAAAATAATTTAAAAAGATGGCACCCCATGTCAGATCATTTTTTTGTCACATAATAAAGCTGATGGCAAATTCATTGGCTTTTCCGACCACCTTAGTTTTAATTAGCTACAACACCACAGTCCAGTTTGGTAGCAAAGCATTTTTAAATGGAAACTCAACATGATGTAGAAAATCAAAACTCCAGCTGAAATTCATTAGGCTGACTGGGATTTTTGCCACTGTAAAGCTTGTCCAACCTCACAACAGTTGAAAGACCTTATTTGTCCTTGAAAGACCTTATATGTGGGCAAAGCGTGGACAGTGACTACGTCAGCAAGGTTTAACTTTATTTAATGAAAACAGTAAAATATCTTTATAGTATGTGACATAATAATAACAATAATAATAATAATAATATGTATTATTATATTTCTTAATATGTATAATGTGTATTGTACTACAATGTGTAATAATACATATAATAAAAGAGACCCCTTTGTGCCATTATTGTGTTAATTACAGACCTTTTTACACACCTATTCTTTTCCTATTTCCACAGCAAGGGTTAATTTTCTTAGTCATATTACATTATCTGTGTAGGCCATTGTTTCTTAACCTGTTTCTCCCTGCAGTTCTACAGGAATATATCACTGCCGCCCTCAAAGAGGGAAGCGTAACAGAGGCAGCGTGAGGAGTAACATCTCCATACATGCTGTTGGTGTCAGGTGCCCGGTAGACAGCTGGGCCGCTAGCTAAGGGAATGATTTGGCTGTTCTTATACGGTCAGTGTAACTCAAGCCTCCAGCCGGGGGGGCTAAATCTGGAGTAAGAGTCAAACAACAGTGAGTCAACAACAGCCAGGAGACTTCATCTATAAAAGGACTACAGGATAAATGGAGTTTGAGGCTTAGAAAAACTTTTATACTTTGGCCAATTCAGCATCCAATGCTGGCTTCACGCCAAGCAGGCATGAATAGTTAAATTAAGCCAAACTGAAGCGGTATGTGGAGCTCAGGAGATGTCCATTATGGTTGGCACCACTACCTGGTGGAGATGAAGCCCTTACGAATGCCACGACTTACAAGCCAGTAAGCAGCCTTTGTATACTGAAAGCATCTGCCACTGTCAAAATGAGATGAAAATGTAACCTTCAGGCTCCTCACAAGTGTGTACGTTTACTTTTGGTCAGCTGTTGATGACGACTGGAAAAAAACATGGACCTATTCATCACCACACTTCACATTTTGCAGGCTTCAAATATACATGACACTATTCATGTAAGCCAAATAAGCAAAGTCATGCTATAACACTTCTAATTTCAACACACAGCCATACGTTCTCTGTTTACACCTGAGAATGCTAAATGGGCCCTCTCAGTAGAGGAAATGGTACGATTAAAACCCATCCAGCCTTCTGCAGATGTACAAAGAGAGTCCTGGGGGGAAAGGGTCCATTTGGAACTAGACGTACAAGTCTAATTGTCCCTCTTCGTTCCCCTAAAGCTCTCTACTTCCTCTAATAGCCTATTCCTAAGTGAGGACTCAAATATGATGAAGCCCCCAAAAAGCCATTATATGGTACTCAAAGAGGAAGAGAAGAATTTAGATGTTAGTATTTTTCATTAATAGAACAGAAAGCAAATGAAAACATACTTTCTGTGTGGAGATATGAATTTGGTGAGGGTGAGTGGGCATGATGTTATTACCTGAAGTCTCCTTACCTCTGTGTTTTCCTTGACCTAATACTTAATCTGACATGTGAGTAGTAAACACTTGCAATGAATGATTATAACAAAGCGTTTCCCAGTAGTACAGTAAAGTACAGCTCTGAAATGTCAATGTCAATTAAAATGGGGTTAATGTGTAATTACTTATGTAGTAATTATGAGATTGCAGTTTTCTTCTAAACAGATCCAGTGGTAACTGGAATTCTATGGGCTTTTAGACTATAAGCAGCTGAAACTCAGGGATGTATTGCACATGAAATCAAAAGCTACAATCTTGATTTCACATGGTTGCAGGAGTGAGAGGTGATCAGCTTTTCTGTGATTATGCTAATAAAGCTATTGGGTGGGGCTTAACTCTACCAAAGTTTCCTTACAACAGCTTCGGTACCTTGCAGTGGGTGGAGCTTATGGGAACGCCCACATTTGAGGCAACAAGCACTGTTAGAGCACTCATTACTTCAATGCAAAATCCACTGTGAAGAGACAAAGATAAAGAAGGACACGGAAACACAGACAACAGAGAGATATGTAAGAGACAGTATGGAGCAGACACCGGGTGACCCAAGCATACAGACACCACAAATACAAAGCACCATGCCATGGGAACAGAGAGAGAGAGGAAGAGTGGTGGGGGCACCGCACAGGACGACACTTTCAAAGAGACTGCCGCAAGCTCTTTGACTCCGTATGCACCGACTCTTTGTTTTAGAGGGGAGGAGGGAGCTCTTGTCCTCCTTTCCAGAGGGTGTGAGAGGGCTGCTTTACCCAAGCTGAGAGGCTGCTTTCAATTATGTGGAACGTGACTTTGTCCCATTGACATTTGTGTGCAGTTCAGCTGGGTGATAGTTATCGGAAACAATTTCCAGACGGGTGGTGTCAGAAGTAGGACGGCAGGGATTGCATTAAGATCGGACAACCTGATTTTTGCCGAGCGCCTAAGGCTCATAAAAAGCAGTGCCATGTCTGATGAGAATGTTACTAGAATTTCTTGAACAAAACTCAATTAAAAAAAATACTAATTTAAATTGAACTTTTTCACTAATGTTCCTTCACAGTGGTTATTCGGCTGAATGACGATGCATATTTTATATTCTTATACTGGTGTGTCTTACTGTAAGAAACAGAGCCTGATGGATTTATGCCACATACTGATGGCATTTCTAAGGGTTTCCTCTTTATCTTTTTCCAATAAAGTATTTTACAATTTTTGAAAGGATATGTACGATTTGTTATGGTTCTGTTAAGTTGATTTTATTATTTGGGGCCTTTTTAAAAGCTATGATTTCTTGATTATTTTTAATCTAAACAACCCTAAGATTACATTATTAGTAGTGTAATTGATAGCCGGGAATAAGCAGCACCTCAGAATTCCTCGGAAAGCAGGAAGCTCACACTCTCTTCTCTCTAGGTACACAGTAACCTGTGGAAGCGGCCAGCCGTCACCTGAGTCAGTTTTTACCTTGCAGTGTGTGGTACTGATTGGGAGTCCGATATTGGACGCCAGCACAACAGTGAGCGCCGAAGCCAGCTCAATAGTGAATCCACTGCGGGGAGGGCAACAAGAGATCATTTTATAAAGTCATACCTTTATTAAGACCAGCACTGGCAACGCATGCAATCCAGAGGGAGAGGTTCATGCACCCAGCATGCAAACCTGGAGCAGAGCATTTAGGGCATGCAAAACTGAGCGTCAAAGACATTGTGCTTATGACGAGATGGGCAGCAAGTGCAGAGTTGTGTTTTTCTACATTTGATGGACATATTAGATGTGTCTGTGAGGAGAGTGTCAAAGTCTGGGTATTTGAAAACAACTGTCAGAATAACGGCATAAATTATTTATATGAATAAGTATCTTTTACTGCCTTATTTGAGTAAACTCTCACACTGCTTTTTTTTACTCTTCACCTTGATCTCTCTTTCTCTCTCTCTCTCTTGGTCTCTCTCTTTCTCTCTCTCTCTTTCTCTATCTCACTCATGAAGGGTTTAAGGGAACATTAATAAAAAAATCCAAGAATGCATATCAGTGCTTGATATTTGTTGGTTTATGTCTTAAAGAATGTTTTGGTTTAGAAACAATTTTATTTATTACATTTATTTTTTTTATTGCATTCTTTTACATTTCTTGATATTTTCTAGGAAAACTAACAGTATTTAAGGTATTATAACTTACAGTAGGGTCCAAAAGTCTGAGACCACTAGTAAAACTCTTTCTATATTGCATTCCTTTCTAATTAAATATGAAGTTTCATTACATATTATATTATGAAATTAATTTTATGAATTTCAGAATTTCTTAATATCCTGTAAGTCCCTCTTTTGCTTAAATTTCAGTGGGCACTCCAGCTGGCATGGACAACTGGGACAAATTTGCATAATTAGTGACCTAGGAATAATGCAGAATATTTCTTCTTTGTTTCACTTGCCACAACTTTTGTTTCACATTTTTGAAAATTCTAAAACGTTCTGTGTGTGTATGAAGAAAAAGACAATGTGGTCTCAGACATTTGGACCCCACTGTTTGTAAGAGAAATTTGGGCTCAAATACCAATAACAGAAAATACAGGTGTTCACCCACGTCAAATCCATTGCTCAGATCACTGGAAGGTTCAAATAATAATATTAGCCAAGTTGCCACTGTTGGAAACAAAAACAAATATTTATGGCTAAATAATTACAGCAGCATTGACTATGATGAATCTTGGAACTTTGCGTGTCTGAATAAACCATGATCATATTTGCCCTGGACAAATATTCAAAATGTCAAACAGGGCTTAGGACGTGGCCCGAAAATCAGTGCTGGGTTTTATTGGCCTTTGGCACAAAAATGTCAGCTTCTAAGTCTAAGTTGTACTTAATGTGCTGGGATTTAGCAACCCACTGAAATGAACAGATTCTCTGCTGCCTCATGTTATATGCAGACTAGATCTACACAGCATTGATAAACTCCCTGCTACAATCACGAGATACCCAATTAGCTGGTATGTTGAGAGAGAGAGACCCCGTCATACCTCCCTAACAACAAAAAACTTCCATTCTTAAGGTGTGAGTGTGTTGAGCAGTGGTGTTGTAATAATATCCAGCACAGTTGGAGTGTTGATCTCCTTGTCTTGATACTGAGATCAGTGAAGACTCCCAAGAAACTGTGGAAAGTCTTAGAAAACCCTGCTGTGACAGAACAGCTCAGATACTTTCTCATATGGCTCAACAGGCTGCTTTATTTGTTCACTACGCGAAAAGAAGGTTTTTTTAGTATATATTAACTGGGTTTTTGGTAACAGCATAAATGGTAGGCCACGTTCCTGTTATCATAACCAGTGCTTGCGTTTGCATAGTATGTTCTGTTTTGAACTGTTTGTCTTGTCACTATAAGAGCACAAGGTCATAAAGGTTCTATGTGCAAGTGTCATGCTAAATTTAGCAGACGTGGTTGGTTTGGTGAGGGGGGAACAAATAGTGATAAGTCTCTTTGCATAAGAGCTGTCCTTGCTCCAACATCCTATTAAGTTGAGTTCATGCCACAGTTGCTTGCTGCCATGTAACTCATTTTGTGGCCAACACAAAGAGGGACTGTGAGCAAGAACCCAAATGTAAGCTTTACAGTTCTAATCTGCTGAGATTTTAATGGGAGATAAACAGCACTGACCCAGTTGGCGAGGCGAGTGCTCCATTTCTGTAACATACAACTCCAGAAAGACGCTGGGATTTGGAGCGGGACAGAGGCATAATTGTAACTTAGCATTATGACTGGAGGTTCATCCAGGAATGGTGTTTTTTTTTAAGGGAATAAAAGTGCAGTATATATAAAAGAAAGCTATAATTTCAATCTTCACCGAGAAAACGAAAGTATAATGCCATATTTAAAAAAAAGAGGGAGTGAGTGAATAAATGAATGAATGAATAAATAAATAAATAAATAAATAAATAAATAAGATACATGCAGGTTCATAAATCAAATACTGGCATGTTGAGAAATATAGAGCACTAAAAATCTAGTAAATATATCATATGCATGCATCAAGAGGCCCTGGTAGATTCCTCATGCACAGTAGGCATGCGGCCCTTTCAGGAGCCTGATCTCACCTGGAGGGGGTGATGGGGGTGAGGTCTTTGCCCATGGTTTGGATGACGCGGCGGCCCCACACCCACAGACCAGCACAGATGCCCACGCCACCATAGAACAGCAGCCACACGGGAGTGGTCGAGTCCTGCATCACTCCCACCCTGCTCATAGATCATCCAGAGAGCCACCAAGGGACCGATGGCATTACTGCACAGAGAGAAAAGCTAAGATTTAGAACAGCTCAATACCACTAAACTATTTACATTTGCCACATTTGTTTACATTTACATACTGCCAACAGAGTTGTGTACACTAAACATTAAGTGCATATCAAACCGATTACAGAGTAATCATTCTGCATGCTTAATTATATTTAATCATGTTTTATTATCTATGAGCCAAATAGATTTTTGTCCCATCAATGAATATTTATCTGCCAATTACTGCTTGCTTTATAGAAGATCAAAATGGTCAGATAAGCACCACTAAAATACAAAATATAAAACTAAGGGGCCCATATCTTACGTTCTTCTCCCTGAAGTCCACTCATAACACTTGTGTGGGTTTATGAACCAAAAACAGTCATAATTTATGTTTACATGAACATTGTTAAATCTCTCTTTATCCCTTAGAGTTAAACAGGCTGTTTTTGTTACTGGGAACTTTAAGAGCGCTATATGTGAATTGGCTGCTCTGTACTCTTTATAACTTCAGCATAAATTGGCAAGGCTAAACTGAAATAGTTAAAAGCTTAGTTTCTATACGTGAGCTGTATGATCTGGGGAGTGGAAGGTACATTTTGAAACTTTAACAATGTTTACATACTACATCAAACTCTTTTATTCCAAAAAAGTAAGGAAAAACCTGATTTTACATGATACAGGCCCTTTATTAAATCAACTCTGCATAACCTACTGAATTACTTGAAATCACTGCAATTACCGCTGCTATTAAAAGTGCCAAATAAATTGTTTAATAAAAATACATTATTTTTAAATACAATTTAAAAATTGATTAAACACATATTTTTATTTAATAGATTAAAATGTTGTTTGATTAATTCCACATAAAGATGAAATAAAACACTTAATTTCAGCAAATAATAAAAGAATATTAGAGTACATTTGATCACATAGGGTAGTGCGGGGCACAAACTAACACAGGGTAAAATGTCACATTTTTTATGTGGTTAAACAGGTTCAAGTAGAACATGCCCATGTCCTCATATTCCCAAACTCATCTGTGAATTGTGACAGCAATTTCTTGGCATTCACCCTGAAGACTGTTTGTATACCATAATTTTTCCCATCATAAGTGTTTGTCAATTGCTGAGTTGTCACAGAATTTACACCTATTTTGTTTCAACTGTCTTCTTGATGTCAGTAATATACCACCATTTTGAGCTAGCCAGGCTGAAGTACAGCCTCCACATGGTGGGGTTAGTTTTAACATAGTGTTACAACTAAGCTTCCTAAACAATGAGTCCATATCCGCCCAAATAAATTCAGAACAGTCACCAAATGTTTTTTTCTGCACAAATTAATTAAAGATTTACTACAGATGTCATGTATTTAAAATATAATTCTACTATTTTGTGTTGATATTTGCTGTTCCACTTTATGGTCCAAATTAGTTTTGCCACTTTGGACACAGCCTCTTTTCGCTGATACATATTTTGATTTATTTTTATGTATTTAGGTCAGAAAGCTCATTTGGTTAAAACATCATAGAACTGTACTGAATTTATTCTTAGTACTTAGCAGACTATTTACCAGACTCTTTAGCTACTGTTACAACTGGCCCCTTCATCTGTTACAGATAACCCTGCCTACTGGTTTGCACTGGTTTGAACTGTAGGAACAAAATTTCCATTTAGTTTGTAGCAAAGATGTGTAGGTTGTTTGTTTAAAAATATTATAAATTTTGCTCAAAAACATTTATGTTGTTCATTTTAAAAATATTTAGCAAAAACCAAAATGCATTAGGTTGTGCACCACTCTCCTCTACACAGAAATATGACTGGAATCAATTAACGTGACCTATACCAAGAATTCAGAGGATTTAAGATTTAGAACTTTGTTCAACTGTGAAAAGCAGTTTTGTAGGCAAAACACACAAGCAGCAGATTAACTTACACCCGTGGCTATGTCTGACTTGGTTCTTAACATTCTGAATAAATGCCAGATCAATTATAGAGTCATGAGCCAGATCTTGTGGCGCAAAATCGCATGGAGGGATTGTTCTGAGCACACAAAAATGGTATGGAATGTGCTGTTCATTGATTAACTTTTGAAGACACCAGGGCAAAGCATTCAAAATGGTTCATGCTTTTTAAAGGTCTCCATTTAAGTTCAGACTGATACAGTGTATTTATTCACTAGACCAGGATGGAGAAGAAGCCCAGCCATTTTCTTGTAAAAACAAAAACAGTGTGACAGTAGAGACAGCTGGCTAGCTAGCGATTTTCAGTGTTGTTGAGAGTAATTAAAGGGAAGAGTTTGAAGAAAAGTATATCTAAATATGAAGAGATCACATGTCCTCTGCAATCCAGACTAAACAATTATGTCCAAAATATTCAACATTTCCTTAAGTTTAAATTAAGGAAATATAATGTAATAACCCATGAACTGTCTGGCAAATTACATTCAGTGTTCAAACCTTAAAAAGGTTAATTTATCAAAAATCATCGCATTTGAATTGCAATACTGGTCAGAAAAATCACAACCAAATCGTTCAGTCCTATCTGCAGTGTGGAATTGGATTGCAATGTTCATGGTTCAGTTCTCTCAAATTAGATGCAATTTTATCTTAAATCAGACACTTTTAGTTTTCTTCAGTATTGTTCAGACTTAAAATTGAGTATTCGGAAATGTACACAATAATCGTCAATCATTATCGTTACTGAATCATTATTGAGGTACTAGGACATATGATGAGAAATGGAAACTACTGGCAGAGTAAAGTGAAGCTCAAGGCAGCAAAAAACATGCAGACTGGTCTACCTGACATCGTTGCCACCATGCGCAAAAGAACCGAAGCAGGCAGTGAGGATCTGAAGGAAATGGAAGAGCAGGAAGACCTGGGGCTTGTCCGTCTCCTCCTTATCCTCATCAGCGCAGTCCTCCAGTGCCCCTCCAGCAGGGGGCGTTGGCTCATGTTTCTCAGCACCCAACTTCACGTCCACTCCACCCTCCTCAGCCTCAATCTCAGCCTCGGCCACTGCATTGCAGTAGCTTGAGTAGCTGTCGTAGCGCAGGCGCTTCTTAGAGTAGAAGACGCTGTCGCCCACCAGTTTCTCGCTGTCCTCCGGTGGTGGGGCACTGGACTCAGAGCGCATGAGAGGCTGCACAGGCATACCACAAATGGCTGCTGTGTAGCACGTATAACTGTTGTTGCGTCGCAGGACCCGGTAGTTGTTGTCAGGCCGTGAGTTGGCGCGCTCGTCTTCCAGGCGGCCTACGTGGATCTTGTGCAGCAGATCTTTGTAGAGGCCTGAGTCCTTATGCACAGTGTGGTAGACCTGACCGTCGCTGCGAACATGTCCATCAAAGCTGAAGCTTCCATTGGACACAGGCGACTTCAGGCAGCCGTTGGTCATAGAGTGAGTGCGGCCTGATGGGATACAATGAGGTGTAAATACCATAAAAGTATAGAGCTGTATTTTTTTCCAAACATGTAAATGTTTGGAGTATTATTATTTTTTTATTATTTTATTTATTTATTTATTTAACAGTGAGAGGCTATAAGAATATTAGTATGGCTTTCACATTTATTTTTCTTTCTGCTGTATTTTCTTTGCAGTAATGTGAACATGCCCCTAGTGTGAGAATTAAGTTTCAAATATAAATAACTATTGCATAAAATAAAATGAAAGATACCCAACAATAGGGGGTTACAGTAACAGTGAAGAAAGACAGATGTTATGGGAATTTATAGGAAATGGACCCCAACCGTCACTAAACTCACCATACACCCTGCCATTAGGAAGGACGGTGCCTCCGTTGGCCAGACTGTTCAACTCCCCAGTGGATTCCCCAGTTAAGGGGCAGTTCAGCGTCATCATTGCCCTTTGCTCCTGGAAGCTCTTTAAACACTGGAGCCTCCTCTTCCTCCTCTGGGATCTTATCTAGACTCTCGTCAGAGATGCGCGAGAGAACATGCTCTTTCTTCAGCCGACCTGGACATGGATGAAAAGAAAATGATGAACAAAGACCACAGCATTCCTCAGTTCTAACCAGGGGTGTGATTTGCTGAGCAAAGACAAGGCTGTAAGCAGGCTTCGGGGAGGAGTGGATAGAGTGTTCAGGACTTTTTTTTTGGTGTGTCAGGATGGTGAAAACGCAAGGATTCATGTACACTGCACTATATACATCAAACAAGCATAATCCCATTAAACAAGGATAATCCTTAGAAAAGAAGCCATGACGTCTATTCATTTACACGCCTACATCTCAAATAAAGTGCCCACGTTCTCAAGCAGTTGAACAAAAATGTAATTGGAGCACTTTGTTCATTTGTTAACAGTATTTCATATACACTGTATGTCCAAAGTTATGAAGTCACCCCTTCTAATTAGTGAATTTAGCTACATTAAGATATTTTTGACACAGCTTATTGCTGAACCTAAGGTCACCATGCCCAATGTCAAGCATTGGCTAGAGGGGTATAAAGCCCCCATGATTGGGCTGTGGAGCAGTGGAATTGCATTCTGTGGAATGACGAAGCACAATTAAACGCTTTTGTGATGCAATCAGACACAATCAAATGCTCACAGCAAAGTAAAGCCTTCCAAGAAGAGTAGAGCTTTTACTGCAGCAGATGGGATCCTTGATTTTGGAAGACACAGCAGATGTCTACAAACTTTTGGACATACAGTGTAACAGTCATGAAATATGTAGCTAAATTCATTCAGGATCGATGCTCAAACTATTTCATTTCAATACGGTGCAGGGCATAAAAGAAATTTCAACATGTTGAGTGTTGTTTTATGTACAGAACTTGATAAGTTTATGTACATAAAAGGGTTATTCCAAACCTTTCAAGTAACGGACAATGCAATGTCCTCCAACAAAATCAGACACTGTTACGAAAGCCATGTCAGTGACAGCAGTGCTTTGAGGAAAAAAAAATACTAGTGAACTCAATGCTTTATTGATCCCAGCCATCTCACAGCTGCAGCCAAAGCACAACATTCCTTGTGCTATCAACTTAGCAAAGACAAAAAAAAATATCTGCGACCATACAGCAAGATACATGCGACTCACTGAAACTCAGAAAACAGTGAGACATCCAAATAAACAGCTTGAGAGTTTATTTGCTTTGTGATCTTCTCGGCACCGGTTAAGCATCAACATGAGGCCATAAGTCACAGCCAGCGAAAGATGGATGCTCCACTGCACGGCACCCCGGCGGAGCAGCAGATGTTAAGCAAATCTCTCTTCCTCCTGAACTGGCGAAGACGCGTCATGCTGAGTCAAAGCTCTGTGGTTTTCCAAAGCTAGATCAGGAATAATAACCCATTCACAATGGCCAAAACATAATGGCGCTGCGAGCACAGACTGCAGTAACGTGTAAACATACTTGACTTGTGACTTTGACAATGTGGTCAATGATAAATCTGCAGACAATCAAATTATCATTCAGCAGAGGCAAGCAAATAGTGTTTGGAAAGGACCAGTACATGAATAGCCTAACATTAGCTGCTGGAATTAGCTTGCTTTAAAATGGGTGATTAAAAGAACGGAACTTACTCGCTATTTTTCTTCTCATCCAGGGGCACACGAAGATCCAGACCAGGGCAGCACAAACCAGAGATCCGGCCAGGGTGATGAGAGCGATGGCCCACACTGGAAGCAGCTCCAGGCCCAGCACTGCAGGTGCATAAAGACAGGGTTTAAAATGAAAGGGAATAGCAGGCAAACCTGACATGAACTCTTAATCTGTATATACATAACACACTGCATTCAGTAAAATGGGTAGTCCTTTCATCAAATGGGTCAGTTTTTACCTTTTAAAAGTTTCTATGAAGCTATCTGAAATGCTTTTTCAAGCAACTAATACAACATATTTATATTATCTAAAAATCCAAAAATGTGGGACAGTGTGTAAAATTGTAATAAAACAGAAATCAGTGATTAGTAAATTCTATTTGACCTGTATTAATTTGGAAGCAGGACAAAAAAAACAAAAAAAAAACACCAAATGTGAAGGTTTACTTTATGAACTTTATTGTTTTGTAAATATATGCTCATCCCGAATTTGATGCCAGCATATTCCAAAAAAGTTGGGACAGAAGCATGTTTACCTCTGTGTTACATCATGTTTCCTTTTAACAGCACTTCATAATTGTTTGGGAACTAAAGAGCCCAACTAATCTTGTTTTGAAAGTAGAATTTTTTACCATTCTTCTGTTATACAAGCCTTCAGCTGCACAACCATACAGGGCCTTCGCTGTCATATTTTGAGCTTAATAATGCAACATGGTTTAATGGGAGACAGTTCTGGTCTGTAGACAGGCCAGACTTGCACCTGCACTAACACTGGCATACAGATACATACAAATTGTAGCTTTGTGTTGTTATGTTGAAATAACCATGGGGGTTCCTGAAAAAGACATATGTTCCTCTGAAATCTGTTCTGCGTTAATGGTGCTTTCACAGACGCTGTGACGCAGCAAACCTACAGTCTTAACTTTTATTTGTGGAAGCTATAACAGACGGTGTTTACTGACAACAATTTGAGCCCATGAGTGATATCCATGACAGAAGAATGCCTTTTTCCAAAGATCAGGCATTGGGTAGGTGATTTAACCTTTTCCTTCACGCACAGAAATTTCTCACGATTCCCTGAATCTTCTGATGTTATTATGCACTGTACAGGGTGAAATACCAAAATCCATGCAATCCCTGGTTAAGGAACATTATTTTTAAATGGCTGGATATCTGGCAAAGTGGTGAGCTTGACCCATCCTCGCTCATAAAGGACTAGGCCTTTCCTGGACACTCTTTTTACACCCAAGCATGACTGCATCACCTGTTTAAGATGTTTTTTGAACATTTCACAGTCCTAGTCTTTCCTAGTCTTAAATTGCTCCTGTCCCAACTTTTCCGGAATGTGTTGCAGTCGTTAATTTCTGAATTAACAAATATTTACAAAAAAACAACAAAGTTGATAACACATAAAGTATCTTGTCTTTGTACTGTTTTGTTCAAAAAACAGGTAGGAGATTTATAAAATCACTGCTTTCTGTTTTTATTTGTATTTTACCTACTGTCCCAACTTTTTTGGAATTTGGTTTGTAAAAAGCTTCAAATCATTTATATGGACAAGCAATGTCATCTGCACAACAGTGTTAGACACTAAATCTGATTAAGCTTATTTTCTAGCTAGCTGTTCATTTAGGAGAGTGATGACTCACAAGGAGCTCCCGTGTACATGATGGAGAAAGTGTTGATGCCAATAGTAGAAGCATAAAAGAGGGGCAAAGCACGGAGGCCATTTGGAACAGGATCATCCTACAAGAAGAGACAAACTCAAAACACTACTCAACAGTGACTTACAAAGTATACTGGAAAGAAACCGGAGGCGGATTCATCTACAAGTCTAATTTATCTTAAATCTTTTTCTAATGTGACTCAGCATTACTGGAAAGGCAGATAAGCCATAGGGCAAGTGATATGACTAAAGAATCCCAAACATGAAAAACACAGTTATACAAACTGCTTCGTTTTGAGTCTTTTTCATGAGGGCACTCGAACGGTATCTCAATTCCTTCCCAATCTGGGACAGACCTATGACAGACAAAAGTCTCTACCGGCAAGTACATTATAAAGGTCTAATGAAATTTTAAAAAGGTGCAGATCAGCTGTCACACTTGGGTTTTATGCAGAAAAGCATGCAGATATGGCACAGCGATAATGGTCCTAGAGGGATTCTACACTGATAAAGAATCTTTTCATCAAGATACCATCTGCATGTATACAAGGTAACACTCAGGATCTGATCACATAAAAGAGAAGTTCAGAACTTAAATAATTATGATGTGAGTTGTGTGCAATGGCAAGTCTGTGACTCTGACCTCACCTTGTTAAGAATGAAATATCGGATGACAAAGAAGAGTAGACCAGACATGAGGCCTGACAGCAGAGGGGATATGAACCAGGAGGCAACTAAAGCAAAAAGAAGGTTTGCCATTAACCACATGGCAAAATATTACAGATAAACATAAGGAGGTAGACAACAATGACTACAATACACAGTTCAATGTTATGGTAAATACCAATGCCACAATAAAATATGTATTATATTATCTGTTATAGTCTATTATATTCTCTCTTAAAGCACCGATTAAAATGAGTTTAAGTACAATAAAAATGATCTCACTACATACGTTATACAGTAGTTAGGGCATGTCCAAAAAGACAAATAAACATGAGGGCAAACACTGCTCAGCACAGTTCATACCAATTTTGACCAGCTGCATCCACTGTACTCCCTGAGTGCCAATAGCCACCATGGAGAAGCCAATAGTAGATCCCACGATACAATGAGTTCCAGAAATGGGCAATTTCAGAAACGAGGCAATGAGCTGCCAAACCGCAGACCCTGAGAAAGGAGAAAATATGAGAAACTCAAACATGCAGGGAGTCCCCCAGCCACAGCGTTCACCTCTTGTTTCTTAGACACATGCTGCAACTACTAAAAAGATTTAAACAGTGAAAAAAGAATCATTCACAAGAAAAATAAACACAAAAATGTGGTATGTTTCTCTTATCACAGTCTCAGCATATTACTTCCAGGATTCTGTTAGACTACATTCTCTGGAAAAACACTCCTCAGCTGGTAACTCTGGCTTCTAAAACGAGTACCCGTCAGCCCACAAACATGTGACCATATGTTTTCTCTACCACTGAGTATCTGGCAGTGCACAATGAAAAGGAAAAAAAAACAAATTAACCTCCGAATCTTCAGAATTAATCCCAATTTATGATTTTAGGTAATCCTAAATTTAATCTAACGCAAGCAATCACTTACCGACCATGGCGCTGACCTCTCCTGCCATCAACGTGGGCACCGTGTTGTTGTACAAGCTGACGTCTATAATCCCCTTCCGAATGGTCTCACCCACTTTGGCCCCAAGGAGCATGGAGCCCAGGGTTTCAAAAATGGAAGCCAGGATGCAGGCTTGGCGCAATGTGACTACCCCTGAGCCCACTGCTGTGCCAAAAGAGTTTGCCACGTCATTGGCTCCCACTGAAAACGCCAAGATGAAGGCGATGATGAAGCCAATTATGACCATCCATAGGTACGACTCTAAATCCATCTTTGCGGCCGCTCTTAAACAGGTTCAGAACTCAATCCAAAAATAAATAATTCCAGAAGTCTAAACTAAACGCAAGTAAGGTGCTGTGCTTTTTTTAAGGAACAAAAATTCCCCTTCTCTTTTGTTTGACACTCTTCCTCCCCTGGCTGTGCAAGTTCTAGGGGGAGAGGCACACTGCTAACTAAGCCGTTTAACCTCAGTCTTTGGAGCCGTGAGCAATGTAGGCAGGAGAGAGCATTCCATTCTTTGGCCCTCTGCGTGTCCTGTCCACTGAGAAGTCTTCAGCTGTCAAAACAAAAAAGAAAGAAATAATTGCAGGGCATATTCATTTGTGTATAAGACAGCATTATCCAGCCAAAAGACTGCAGGGGAGTAAAAGGCAAGAAAGCTGGAGCAACAGGTGGGGGAAGAGCTTAAAATCAGAAAGAGGGACACAGAAATTTAAACTGACAGCTAAAACAGCAAGAACCCTACAATTATAAAAGATTTTGCACCTTTTCACAAAAACAACTTTGAAGATCAAAAGTACGGTCAGCACATTTCTAACAGGCTGAAGATTACTTACAAAGATTTGTCATTCATGTGTATGAAAAATGTACACATGAATGACCTATAAGCCATATCTTATCAATATCAATATAACACCTCAACTTGTCTTCTTGGCAGGGTTTCAGGTTCGGCATTCAAACTCAGCCCCAGCAGTACATTCAGTTGTGATGCAGCCTAAGCAGCGCTGCACAGTTGCAGCCCCTAATACCTGCTTGCACTTGTACTGCTTCCTGTTTTCCTGCATTCTACAGGCTAAGATTCTTAGTGGGTCAGAGTCACTGGAACATAGGAGGTCTGTAAATGGGCCACTATGTGCTGGCTGCAATCTGATCATGTTTATGGAAAGGTCCAATAGTGCATAACAGGGAGACCGTGGTATTTACTGCATCAGACCGCCATGATTCCTTAACAAGGCTTAATAAGGCAACAGAAGCTAGGGCTGTGATACATTGATCAGTATCATAATACTGGTCTCTCCAACTTAGGAATTACTGTATTAGTGTATCATGCAATTAGTGCAGTCCTTGTAGTAGAAAACCTCTTGGTTTTTACAGTGTATAACAGAGCTGGGGATCACTTATTCCATAGTTTTGAAAATCATATCATAATTATGAGAACTGGAATTAAATGAAGAATTGGAATAAGTAGAAACAGACGTTTTGCCATTAAGATAACTGACTAATAAGAAGTTAAACTGAGTCAAATTTAAAAGTTAATATCAAGCTAAATTATTAATAATATAATTAAATTATAGTGCCGACATGAACAAACGGAAAGGAGGATACTCGCTGTTGATTCAGAATGCTTTGTGCCAAAAGTATTCGTCTACAGGTCACAGGAACAAATATTTTGTTTAGAAAATCAAATGCAAAGTAGCACTATGGTGCTACCATATGCCCACAAAACCAGTTTGCACTGGATGAATTCATTACTCACTGGGCCATAACCTTTTGTTGTTTTTCATTTTCATATCTGGTCACCCTTAACCTGAGAAAGGTCCTAACACTTCCCAGTAATCTCAAAAGTTCCTTGCATTCTCAGGCTCTCTCAAGATAAATACACAGTTTGGCTTAGCCCGACAGTTTGAATAATAAACTTTATCAGCCTAACGCAGACTGTCTGTTTCAGTGCCTAAATTAATTATATGTCTAGTCTAATCAGATAAGTGATTCAACTAATGTTTTTTATATTGTGTTTAATGACTTAAGAATAGCGCTGTACCAACACAGACACTGACACTTAAATACAATACATGTATTACAAATAGAAATCAATTAATGAGAGATGCTTGCATGCGCATCAGTAGATGTCAGCGGTGTGGGATTATATCATGCTCGACAAAACACATAGTAATAATGCTCATTGAAAAATCTGTAACAAAAGTATATTGAGGGGCGACATGATCAGCAAGGATTTCAATACATCAAATTTAATGAAGCACTTGAGCTCAGTGACTTTTCGTGGCTCTGAAAGCATGTGAAGTTATCCAACCAGTAAATGCTATTCATTCAAGCTTAGTATGTTTGATTTGTGACACTGAATGCTGCTTTTACCGGAAAGAAATATTTAAAAAGGGGAATGGTGTAAATATCAGGATTTATAAGCACCTGTCGAATAGTTAGATTAGATAGATGACTGGTATCTGAACTCAGTATAGGCAGATATTTGATGGTATTGTAAGGAAAAATGTGGTATAGATGCTACTGAAGGCACCAATAATTTTTTATTTGAATTTATCTGATATAAATCACCTAGTCAAAATCTCTGCAAATGATAAACGCAGCATCCCCCTAAGACCTATAGATCATGTCTAAACTGTTCTTACCAAACAACAAACCACAGCCAAGAAATAATTTTCGCGTATGCTAATATTTACAAAAGGTCTGTAATTAAAGGCCATGTTCAGTAAAACAATACCACAATTTCCATTTCTGATACATACAGTGTAGTGCTGCTGTTCATTAAAATAACATATGATCTGCAGCAGTTCTGTATGTATTAAGGGATAAGATTACATTCCAGCAGATAATGTCAGTAATCTTTTATTTCTAATATAGCTCCTGCAACAACCATAAGGCATCAACACAGAGGCCACAGTGCCCAAAGAATGGAAGGTCACTCAACACCACATGGCCTAGTTCTTGGTGAACCTGAGTGATCTGTGAATCAAGGCTATATTCAGTTTTTGTTTCAGTATTATTTTAATCCCATCGTGATATCTTAACATAGAGGTATTCATGCTGCACGCAGGACTTACTGCTTATTGTTATTGCTTACGAATTAACTTGTGGAATTACTACCGCACAGTCTTCCAACTCACTAAGCCTTTTGTCTAAAGGGAATTAAATGTAAACAGTATGAGAGCCAGACTAATGCATTCTCCAGGCATTAACTAATTGTGTGTTTGAGTCAGGTGAGTTACAAAAACTATATAAACATCATGTGTCTCAGTTCCAAGCATGCTTTGAAAGGATCAGAAAGCCTTGTGACATTCTCAAACATACATACAGCAGAGTCATCAAAACAGCTCATCCATAAAGAAACAATGCAGCGCGCAAAATAACTGTGAGTCACTAGCAGCCTATGCAGTTCAGTCTGCAATGTCTTCACAAATGTAACAAAGGGGTCTTTCACAATGGCAGCAGGGCTGGGTATTACCAGGTCTACACTATATGACCACATTCAAGGCCTCAATGCAGTACACAGTATGATAAACAATTGGAAAATTAATCCAAATTGGTTTTGAATTTCAGGAAAGAGTCACAGTAGCTCTGCAGTCTTTAACGTGATAAGACTGCAGTGTCACAGCAGACAGCATTTACAAAAACTGTGTTAATGTAAATGAATATAAGTGCACTTGTTATGGAAAGTAGTTCTCAATATGACAGTCAATATGACCTTTTTGTTTTGATCTTTTGTATTAAATGTGCAATACTTCTGTTCACTTAATCCTGCCATCAAGTTAAATGCTAAATGCCAAAAGTGAACCATTGTTCTTACTGTGATAAACTGTTTACCCACATATAGACTCGTACTGATTCAAACCCCTTGTAGGCCTGCCCCTTTAACACAAATCTATCTGAATGCCTTTAGTACTTTTTTGAAATAAAACATTAGAATTATTAGAATATAATAAAATATTAGAATCATTATAAACGTTATAGGAGCATACAATACAATTTGCATCCAAAAACAAAACATGGAAAATAACATATCCAATGTATCAGTCAACTGCCAATCAAAACCATTTTATTTGAGTTTCATTTGTGCAACTTAACTGTACTTTTATAACTGTACTCATGTACGTCTTATAAATTTGGGGCCAGTACTAATTTTCCAGCCATGATACAATGTATTTCAATGAATAATAACATAAAAATTGTATTGAATTTCTTGTACTTACATCTTTGCCTAGTGACAGTTAATCAAGTTACTGTGGTAACAGCCCACAGTGACAACTAAAAATCATTTAGTGATTTATTTTAAGCAAACCACAGCAAGTACACCCATACATTAACATAACTGAACTTTTATACCTGTTGGGTGATGTGATATCCTGCATTAATTCACATATACTACACCTAACATAAATGAGATTGTTCAAGAAACGCAGCTGTTCAGCTGCGCTGGTTGAACATGCTTGGTGAGGCAGGCAGATATCATGCCTAAAATAGCTGGCTATATTGGAGATCCCTAGACCACAATGTCAGGTTTCAGATATCTGAAAAAATTACTTCGGTCTCGGGAAAAACAAATGAGTAAAAACATGTCTCAGCTCTCGTACATCAGGTGAAATGGGTTATTCCAACCAGCCTCAAGCCAAATGGCTCATGAGAACAAGGCATCAACTACAAACTCTCAGAGGTTAACGTTTACGTGACTGTCATACTTTCATTCTTTCTTTCTGGATTAATTACACTTTCATGGATGAATTAAAGATGACAATGTCCTACAACTTTGAATGAACTTCGCTAATATGTTAAAAATTTTTGGAAGCAAAAGCGATGGTATTATTATTATTGTCATTATTACTATTGTTATTACTTGTTGTTGCTTATAATTACTCCTATGCATGGAAAATAACATAAAAGAACATAAAATTAAAAACCGTTAAATGTTTACTGCAGTTATTTTCCACTCGGTCAGTTAAATAAGAGGACTCTGTTACTGGTACACTGGCACAGGCCTTCTTATAATTCTTAGATAATTCTTAGAATCTTAACTTCCAGCCCTGGCCACACAAGTTCATAGATTATGAGTGAAAGCGAGACTACTAAACATTAAACAGTAGCCAGCGTTTTCTAAATTGTGCCACTTTACATTGTTGTCCCATTGGGAACAGACGAGAAAAGCTATTACATTCTCATACAAGCACAATCAGCAACATTTTGATGACACTGGGTGTTTCTGCTCCTCTCTGAAATTGCAGGTCAATTGCTTTGTCTGTCTCAGGTCTTTTGCCATGAATTGGCTTCAACTATTCATTGGATAACTGCAGCTTCTTAACACCAGCACCCTCCTTGCAAGACTCCTCATGCAGACACCACTGCTCATTTCTTGAAAAGCTTCGCAAGAGCTGCAAGAATGCTACATTTCTCCATCCACCTCACCCAAAGGACTTCTGCCTCAGTGCCTCCATAAACATAGTATGCAGGCTACTGCACCTCAGTATGTCAGAAGAGGTTGGTCAAGCAAACCCATGAGATGTCAGACGCTGTTAGAAAATATGCAACATC